TTAATTAACTAGTCACTCCTACCATTTTACATGAAATGCCATCTCTGTTTGCTGGTCTAACGAGTCTTGGCTTCAATAGTAGGGTAAGAATTTTTCATCGCCTTGAAAACATGCATTCCTCATGCATTAAATGGATGTTTCAGTGGGGGGAGGGGGGTCATTTAGGGGAAAGCTTTGGGAGATCTGTGTGTTGTTGTCATTCACCTTTATGCCTATCCCTGTGTATTCATCTTCTGATGGCTACTTACAGCAGGATACTGACAGAAATACACGGTACTCTATTTGCCTCCACAGTCACCAGATCTTAATCTGATGGACCACGTATGGGATTAAATGAAAGAGATATAACCTTGACAGGAAAATGGAGGCATGCATAGTCACAAAAAAATAAAAAAAATATATAAAAAAGGAAGAGAGTAAAGTAAGAGCCACATTAAAACAGAATACTCAGATTACAGGACACCAAGGATGGGATTAAAAATGTAAAACCACAGGCCTCAGTTCAATTTGAGGAATCATACAGAAGAAATTGTTTCAAAAAGTGCTTGTAGGAACATTATCAGCAGATATTTCAAGACGCTAGACATAGCAGCTAAGATAGATCCTAAAGAACCAAGTTTGTGTTGGAGAACCTGTGGCTCTGCCATCCCCAATCATACACACATGTTCTGGTCATGCCCCATATTGCAACATTTTTGGGATAAGGTATACAATGCTATAAACCAGAGATCTTTCAGTAGGTTACTCCTATAGATGTAATGGTTGCAATACTCTGTATTAGTCCTTTTGGGGTGTAAGGACAAGCCAACTCATATCTCTTACATGTTTATTTTACAGCGGCCCCTTAAATCCATCACAATTAAGTGGAAGCAACTAGAGCCGCCTTCCTACAACTCACGAGTCCAAACTGTAAGGGAATTATACCAAATGGACAAGATAACATAGTTGTCAAGTCTTCAAAAAGACACTTTCAGCCAACGCTGGAGTCCTGTGGAAGATTTACCAGAGTAAACAAGTATTACAACCCAAGTTTTTGGATTATGTTACATAGACCTGCCATTTGAGGTTTTGATCTTAGTTCCAACAAGTAGTGAGATTATAATTTTCAGGATCCAGTTGCGTTTTCTATATAATGCTGTGGGATAGTTGTAATTATTTCTGCTACAGATGGCTTTACAGTGAATCCCAGACACACTGAAGCATCGCTTCATCTTCTAAAGATGTAAAGTTGTTCAGAAAAGCAGGAGGACATTTTTTTTAGAAATACCGTTGGCTATATTATTGGCCTGCTGTTCTTTAACAATCATAACAGAATGTTTTTCTTCTTGCTCATTTCAGATTAACAGAAGATACGTCTCCAACAGAAAGACCCAGTCACAAGATTGGCGGGTAAATATTGTCAGTTTCAAAGAGCTGGATCACAGAGGTTCATTGAAATAATCTAATAGGAGAAATTTAAGGAGTATGAGTGGACTTTGAAGCACAAGGTCAGCTTTTTAATCACGCCATTGTGTTTTTGGTATCTACGGAGACAGATGGCCCAGTTCATGTTTCTCACTAAACCCTGAATAATCCTTCCTCAGCCTTCAGAATTAGGAAATTCACCAGATTATTGGTCTGTGATGACCTATGGTAATAAAACGGAAAATATGGTAACACTCCCCTCACCTCCAGAGTAATAATAGTAATTAGCATTGTTTAGTAATCACTTATGATTCATTAAATTCTATAGTGCCAATTCACATCATGTCATCTAAAGGAACTTTCCAGTTCACCAGATCATCCAGTCAGATTTATTCAAAGTTTTCTATCTAAGGAACCCAGTTGATTGCATCGACTCATTGACTCTTCAGCAATCCCTCACACTAAGCATGCTTGAAGCGAC